GAGAAAGAACTATGGAGTCTGAATGCAGATGGAAGCACACTATTTTCTCTCCTTTATTTTTTCTTTCTCATGGTTTTTCCCTTTTGCTTTGATTCTTCTTTCACAACATGACTAATGTGGAAATATGTTTAATATAATCATATTAAATGTATATGTACATGTATAGCCTATATCAGATTGCAGACCATCTTGGAGGAGGAGGGGAGGGAGGGGGGAAATTTAGAACTCAAAATCTTATAAAAGTGAATGTTGAAAACTAAAAATCAATTAATTAATTGATTTGTAGAAACCACCAAAGTTACTAATGATCTCATAACTGTCGAACCTGGTGGTGTCCTTCTCTCAATCCTCATCCTTCTTGACCCCTCTGCCATCTTTGACCATCAATCATCCTCTTGTCTTTGACATTCTCTTTTCTCTAGGTTTTTGTGTCACCATTCTCCCCTCCTCCTCCTCCCACCTTTCTGACCACTCTTTCTAGGTCTACTTTGACAGACCTTCATCCAGGTATCACGCACTTACCATGGATGTCCCCTGAGGCTTTATCCTGGGTCCACTTCTCTTCTCCCATCATACTATTTCATTTGGCAATCTCATTAGTTCTTATGGATTCAATTATCACCTTGATGCAGATGATTCTCAGGTCTATTTATTCAGCCCTAACCTGTCTCTTGATCTCTCGTCTCTTATCCAACTGCTTGTTGAACTACATGTTGCATCAACATCTTAAACTCAACATGCCCAAAGCTGAACTCATTATCATTTCTTCCATCCACCACCCCCACTTCTGAACTTCCCAGTTACCTGTCAAGGGCACCACCATCCTCCCAATCACCCAGGCTTGCAACCTGGGTGACATCCCTGACACCTCACTTTCTCCTCCCATATCCAATCCACTGCCAAATCTTGTCAATTCTATCTTTGTCTCTTCCATATGCCCCTTTTTCTCCTCTGACACTGCCAACAATCCTGGTGCAGGCCCTCAGCACTTTTTATCATTATATTATTTTATTATTATAGTATATTTTTATTATTTTATTATATTTTGTTATTGTATGTTATATATTATAGTCTTATTACAATAGCCTTCTGATTGATCTCTCTGCTTCTATGCTCTCTCCCCTCCAGTCCATCCTCCACCCAGCCATCAAATTGATCTTCCTAAAGCTTAGGTCTGAACTTGTCACCCCCTTATTCAATAAACTCTAAGGGCTTCCTATTACCTCCAAGATAAAATGTGAAATCTTTTGTTTGCTATTCAGATCCCCTAGTAAGCTGACCCCTTCTTCCCTTTCCAGGCTTCTTACACCTTACTCCCTCTTCCACATATACTATGATCTAATGACATTGGCCTCCTTGCAGTCTCTCAAACAAGATACTCCATTTCCCTACTCTGGGCATTTTCACTGAATTCTCTTCCTCCTCATCTCTGTCTGGTTTCCCTGATTTCCTTTAAGTCCCCGCTAAAATCCCACCTTCTACAAGAAGTCTTTCCCAATTCTTCTTAATTCAGGAGCCTTCCCTCTGTTGATTATTTCCTATTTATCCCATATATACATTGCTTGTACGTAGATCATGAGCTCCCTACAGACAGGGATTCTTTGCCTTTCTTCATATTCTCAGTGCTTAGCATAGTGCCTGGAACGTAGTAGGTGCTTAATGCTAGTTTACTGAACTTGTACCCCTCACCTCCTATGGTCTATATTTACAGAGCGCCCACTTTGTTATGGAGGGTACCACTGTTGGGATTATATATAAAATCTTGGGAGGTTATAGCCCCAACCCCCAAAAAGTCTCTGCTCTAGGCTTGCTGCCTCTCTGTGAACAGATTTGGCATTCAGCTAGGGACAGGTCAGAGAGGTTCCTCCATAGTTTTAAAGGCAGCTCTGCTGTTTGTTCCTTGTGTGACCTTGTCTCTCCTGTCTGAGCCTCAGCATCCTCAGCTATAAAATGAAGGAGTCTGACCAGGTGGCTCCAAAGGTCTGAGTCTGGGACTTTCGTAAGATGACAGATCTTGAGTCAGAAGGGAGCTCAGAGAGTATGGAATCCAACCCCCACATTTAACAAGTGAACATCGAGGAAGTTGAAATGATTTGCCCAAGGACATTCAAATAGACATGATCAGAGGCAAGATTTGAATCCCGGATCCTCTTGTTCCGGATTATTCCTTGTTCCTGCTTATTCCATTGTACCAAGCTGTCTTCATGCCTGATCCCAGGGCTTTAGGAACTGTAATTCTACTGTTAGCATACTCCATGGAGATTCCTTTGGACTCTGGTGATTCTTTCTCAACCTACAGATCTGGGAGCTCTCCTGGTGAAATACTCAAGGCCAGCTTCTCCAGACTGAAATGTTTTCCTGCCTTACCTCACCTTTCCTGGGCCTCTTTCCTCTTGGCTTTGTCCTGCCTTTAACACAGACCCTTTCCTGCAGTCTCCTCAGCTGTTATTTTCTCAGCTTTGTTCACCCACTGTTAAGTTATTAACTTGTCAGGGTCTAGACTCCCCACTTCCGCTCTCTCTTTGAACTCTCTGTTGACTTTCTTCCTGCTCACTGCATCGGAAAGTCAGGGTTTGGGAGACAGGGGTTAGCAGACAGGTCAACTGTGGCTTACACACAGAATTAGATTCAGTATAATTGCCGTAACATGTCATAAGCTTTCTAAGGATTTTTAAAGATGACTAGAAGGCAAACAGAAAAAAAAAAACCCAAACTCTAGTTTCTCCCCATTTTGGGGGAGTTGGTAAACCAAAATGACCCATTTTTTAAAAACCCTCCATTCAATGCAATATTTTCTTAAAAGAATTCTTTTTAAAATGATTCCTCTATAAGGAGGAGAGAGAGAGAGAGAGAGAGAGAGAGAGAGAGAGAGAGAGAGAGAGAGAAACTCACTGCTATATTCACTCAATTAGGAATCACTTTTAATGAAGTTAAAAGAGAATAAATGAGTTATTTTAATTCAAGTTAATAATATGAGGCTGATCCAAAGTGTTTTGATTAGAATTCTCCAAGGAAATGGTCAGTAGCTACCTAGAAAGAGCAGAGGTAATATTAATGTTTCCTCAAAGTTACACAACCATAATTGGAGTCAATGAGATGTGACCATGACTCACTGATTGTATTTTTCTCACTCATTAGGTCCTAACTGTATAGCTGAATCAGTCTTGAAAATAATGCCTAACATGAGACAAATAGAAATTTTTCTTGGGGAGGTAAATTTTTAAAAGGTTTATTTTATTTATTTTATTCCACACACTTCTTCTTGGGGATCATTGTAAAGTTATTTCTGATTGATTTTATTATAGTAAAAGACCTTACCTATCTGGAATTCATGTTTAAAATAACCTAATCTAGCTAGAACACAACTGAGAACCAAAAGAAAGAAAAAAATGTCCAAGTACAGCTCAAAATCCATGCACTAAAGCTTATTTATTTATCACATGGAGAGCCCCTCAAACTGAGAGTCAGAAGGTTCTGGGTGAGAGTTTAACAAGCTTAGCTCTATGCTTTCCAAACCCAAAGCAGAGCAAATTAAAGGAGCAAATTAAAAACCAGGAGGTCTATTAAAATTGGTAATGCCAGTTGATGCACGAAGGGACAGGGAAAAATCTGCAGAAGAAAAGAGGCAGAAAAAAAATACAAAAAGTAGAAAAAATAATGCAAAAAATACAGTAATCTCAAGTGACTTTTACCTCAGGGATTAATAGTTCTTCTCATGTCAGTAGTATCTGAGAAACAGAAAATAGTTTTTATTGTTCATGGTTAGAGAACCTGAGGAACCAAGGAAAGGTTCAGGTTTTACTCTGTTTAAGAAGTCAGGGAAGGTGAGAGGGTAGGGTATGTGAAAAACATTTCCATTCAAGTAAGTTAAAATAAAAAATTTTTGGTACCATTATTTAGGAAATTCATCCATACAGTGATTTTACTTTTGTCACCTTCTAGGTTGGCTAGTTAATAGCCCCACTGAACCTTTTCTAAAAGGTGAATCCTCCTTTGAATATAGTCCTAGATTCATCCTAGATCTTTGGGCCACCCAAGGCTGTGTTTATCTTCAACAGCTGGGAAAGATACAAGAAGAAATCTTTTTTAGACTTTTGCTCCTTGGACAACCTACAGATATGAAACCAATTTTAAAAACAAGCCTCCCAACCTACTATAATGACCTCAAGTAAATAGACAGAGGGCAAGGACAAATTACTATCTCTCAGCAAAATAAAAGGCCAGAAGCAGAGCAAAGGACTCTTTTCTCCCTGGAGCTATTGTCTACAAGCTATTTGTGAATTCTGCTTTGTTGAGGCCCTGCCTTGTGGTATCAGCAATCATTGTTTTAATTAGGAGTTCTTCTAGGCCAGAGGCAGTGAGTAGAAAGACCAGTTTCTTAAAGAATCTTAAATGAAAGTCAAGTCTTCCTAGCCCCCGGAAGATTATCACACATAACCAACCAATATTGTCCTAATTTTCAGCTGCATAATGAGCCAGCCCCATTTCAGAGGCTCCCAGCCAGCCAGATGCCAAATTGTGATGTGGGTTATCAGTAACTGAACAGTGCCAGCAGTATTGGAGATCAGACTGGTATATCAGGGAATTTCTCTGCTATCATTCAGTTTTCCTAACCAGCATGTGGGGCTGGGTTGTTTTGAAGGAAAGGTGCAGGAAGACAGCAGTTATTCCCATGGATGTGGCTGGTTGCAGCACATCCCAGGACATCTGGCCAGGCCTTGCAGTTCTTGGTACATTTGTATCTGTAACTCTCACTAGAATTAACTGAATGTGTCTGGACAAATTCTTCAGGCATCAGTGAGAAAAGCTGAAGGCCTGCTTTCTAAAGTGCATTGACCTCTTGTTAGCCTAACCCCTGGTGAGGAAACAGTTAAGCAGTTGCATGCTCACATGTCAAGTTTGGGAGGGGTCATTTTAAGGAGGACACCAGGGGACTGAGTTCCCAACCTCCTTCAGGCTGCCTAGCATCTGAATGACCCTATTATTTTTTTCTTCTCCAGCTATATTTCAGATCATCCAGAGTATAAGGATGGGTATGTAAGGCGACAGAGACTTGACCTCCCTTCCTCCGTCAGGAGGGTGGACTGGATTAGTATTTAGCTGATGCTATAATGGAACAGACACAAAAAAACAAAAGCCACATGGGACCATGCCCTGCGCACATCATCAAGGATGCCAAACCAAACTACCTCTTTATGTGATGACGACTCGGTGCTTGCGTGTTCTCAACAGGAAAGGAAAGGATATTCTCTCTACTAGCTGGACAGGCCGTCCCTGCCTTGAGGAAGAGAAGCCTGTTCTGCATCGATGTCATTTCCCTTTTTCTCATCAGTGTGTTCGTAACCCTGGCAATGGTCAACTGGTGTACCTTTGAGGTGTGTTATCGGTCATGTACTGGGAATTGATTTTAAAAATAAACTCCAGCGCTCACCCCTACACTATTTGTTGGTTATAGTCAGAAAGGCAAGCCTAGAAATATATAGGCAGACTCCACCAACGTTAATTGAGAAGCAATGGAGAGGAAAACCCTCACCAGGCGAAGCAATGTTGTTGTCAGGGACTGAGTTCTAGGGGAGCAGTGTGATAAAGGAGCCATCAGCCAGGATAGCATTAAAGTGGGGATTAATACCACCATAGCAAGATCAGGTTCTATCTAATCATAAGAGGAAAAAAATAAGAGCTCAGTTTCTGCAGGAAGCATTGGGATTATTTTGTTGGAAGGCAGTTGTATGGTAGAGTAGCAATGTACAGTGGCCTCATAACACCTGGGTTAAGTGCCAGCTCTGTTACATACTAGTTGTGTGACCATGGGCAAGTCACTTTACTAATCTGGGCCTCAGTTTCTCCCTGCATAGATTGGATTAGATGATTGCTAAGGTCCCTTCCACCTCTATATCCTATTGTCTAGGGATTTGAGTTGGATGATACTAACTGGACTTTGAAAAACCTGCACTTAACCTGCACTTCCCCACTGTCCATCCCAACAGGCTTCAGTATCCACCACATTTCCCATCTTCATTTCCTTTTTGTGGTGGTAGTGTTTTTCAGTTCATATAGATAACATGAGTGAAAATCCATTGAAAATTATAAAGCACGATACACATGTATTTTGCACTCAGGATGAATCAGAAAATGTTAGGGACCTTACAAACCATGCAAGTAAACCCCATCATCTTGATGATTAAGAAACTAAGGAAGAGAAAAGTTAAATGTTCTCCCCCGCCCAGGTCACACGGGGAGTAAGTTGAAGAGACAAAATTTGAACCCTGGTCTTTTAACTTTAAATTCAGTGCTCTTTCTTTCATATTGAAATACCCCAAATTCTCTTTCTACAGATGAGAAACCTGAAAAATTAAATGGTGAAGTGATGTCATCTTTATAACCATCATCATCATCATTATTAAATGCATTTGGTTATATCTACCTTCGAATCTGAATGGGAAAGCCATTTGAGTCTGGGGCCCATTCTCAGCTCTACTGTTGACTTTGTGCTCAAGAACAGTTGTGGTACAGTGAAAATATAGCTGGATTTGGGGTTATAGAGCCTAGTGCTACAAGTTACTACTTACAGGCAGCTAAGTGTCATGGTAGAGAAAGTGCTGGACACGGAGCAAGGAAGGCCTGAGTTCAAATCCTGCCTCAGAAACTTGTCAACTATATGAGCTTAGGCAAATCACTTTGATTCCTCTGAACCTGAGTGTCCTCATATGTAAAGTGGAGATAATAATAGCCCCTACTTCACCGTCTTGGTCTTGTTGTGAGGATCTGTGCATTAAGCACTTTGCAAACCTTAATGCACTATGTATTATTATTATTATGTATGTGAACTACGGTAAGTCACTCTCTGGGCCTTGATTTCCTTACCTGTAAAATGAGGGAGGTAGATTAGGCACCTTTCAGCTCTAAATCTGTGAACTTCATCATTTTAGCAGATGAGATGTTGTCCATCCTTAGTTTTTGAAGAAGACTGATGACATCACAAGGTGATGTCTTGACGTGTATGTGAATTGGATTTAAGTGAGGCAAAATTGCACAAAGTTGTCAGCCTCACTCTCTCTTCCAGAATCATCGAATCCAGTGGCAAGACAAAAAGTCAGGATGATTGGCAATGGCCCGAGATGACCTTGATGTCTGACCAAGTGCCATCAAATGAGATAATGTCTGTGTACAGGGATGGGGTTGGCCTGGAGACATCTTGATCAACTTGATGAGATGACAGAGGACAAATAAGCCTTCATCTGTAGGCATGCATTTGAGGGGCACTGACCACTGGGAATGGCCACTGCCATCTTATTCAGAGAACACATGGAGCTCCTGATAACTGACTGACTGGGGGTCTACAAGGATAGACTCTTGTGCAAGCAACCATTCCACTCCATGGTCTATAATACCATAAAAGCTAACTGACAGACCAGCTCTCTCTTTCTCTTTTGGATTCCTTCACAGTTTTCCCCTGAGCCTTTCTGCCAAAAGGGTGGAGAGGAGATTACTCCCTTCTCCTTTCCCTTCCAACAACTCCTGGCAACTTGCCACAGATGTGCATGGTGTCTAGGTGGCTTGGGAGGAGAATTCATGGACAATCTCTCTGACCGCCAACTTCCTGTGCAGAGAGGTAGATGTTTTCATCTCCTGGGCACCATGATCTCAGAATCTAGAGGCTTCTAGCTACCGAAGAGGGATTTATCGGGTAGTGCTAGATTTGGGGACTGACCTTTGAGTGAGTAACCCTCAAATTCAAGAGTTCCTAAATTCAAAACTTAGACAATAGTCTTCTACATAGAGGAAAAAGATTTCTTCAACAGCATGCTTCATGGAGAAAAAAGAGAACATTTACAAAGTTCCTGAGCAGTCCTACTTAGAGAATAAAGCCAGAAAGGTATTTGGGCAGCGCAAGAAAGGAACTTCCTATTGAGAAATCCCCAGAGTATGTCTGTTTTCAGGGGGAAGAGTCTAACCATAGGGTACGGGTCTCAGGGAAGCAGTATAGGTCTAGGAAGAGAGAGACTCACCAGAGCACCTCAAAGGATGGCCCTGAGGGCCATCCCAAATTCCTGACCTTTCAGAGGCAGCTGATGGACTGTTTGAGTGTGGCATGTGTTTTCTGTACCTGTTGATGGGCTCTCATGAGTCCTTTGCACCTTCTGCATTTTCTGTGGGGCAAAATAAAGGCTATCTAATGCTCTGTTTGCATTTACTACCTTGAGCGTTCACAAGATGGGGGAATGACATTACCGCATTTGGGGAATCCCAGAGGAGAACTACACTTAAGCTATATTTGGAGGTTTTCTCTGAAATAATTCTAGGTGGGAACAATGAACCAGAAAGGTACTAACCATCTTGGGGTCAGCCCACAGGATAGGACCCCAGTCCTTGTGAGCCCAGAGTCTGAGAGGCCTTCGGTCCCACATTTAAAGTTTATTTGAACGCTTAAAGTGCCTGTTACTATTATTATCACCATTATCTAACTTTTAAATATTTTGTTGTGTGTGGGGTGTATTCGTTAGCTGCTTGGGACAGTACAAGGAAGGGGACACCCCTTTGCTTGGCTAATCTAGAGAAAACCATGCTGCAGAGGATTCTCCCCATCTCCCAAACAGGAGGATAACAAAATTTTCAATATAAGCAACCTATAGTTCATTCTAGGAGCAGCCAGATGGTACAATGGATAGAGTGCTGGGCCTGGAGCCAGAAATACCTGAGTTCAAATCTAGCCTCAGACACTTACTAACTGTGTGACTCTGGGCAAGTCACTTAACCTCTGTTTGCCTTAATTCACTGGAAAGGGAAATGGTAAACCACTTAAGTAACTTCGCCAAAAAACCCCCCAAAAAACAAAAAACAACCCTCATGGACAGTAGAGTCCACGGGGTCACGAAGAGTTGGACATGACTGAATGACTAAACAACACCTATGTAGCTCATTCTACAGGGATTCCCTTTCTCCGTCTTATTGTCTGTTGTAAGCTTTGCCCCAGAAGGGTTGTTGCTATGGCCTTGGAGGCACTCCCTCCTCCTCCGTCCCCTGTTCCCACTCTTGGCTTCCTCAGCCCCCACATTTGGAGCCAAATTGACTCACGAACAGCACTGCTGCTCTGTAATTAGCAGACCCTGGTTGCTCAAGAGAAACTAGGAACCCCACCCTTCCTCTAAGTTCTCTGGGCTGAGGGAGCAGTTTCCTTACTGCTCTGGGGACAGCAGACAATAGACGTTGGACACACCCCACAGCCCCAGGCATCCTGTTTGGCCCTGCCTGGGCTGTACATCATACTCATGTGCTATCAAAGATCAGATCCCAGCATCAGGCAACCCCAGCGAGAGCTAAGGAGAGCTGGGGGATGCCCAACAACCAAGGGACAGAGGAAAGCATTCTTGTCTTAGCAACAAGCTTTGTAAACGTTAAAACACTATATAAATGTGAGTGGTTGTTATTATTGTTGTTGTTTTTACCCTTAATCCTCAGTCTCACACACACACACACACACACACACACACACACACACACACACACACACACACACACACACACACACACACACACACACAGAGTTGCCTGGGCTTGATTTGAATTCTCTGGGGAAACACATCTCTCCAGGTCTTCCCAAATGTAAAATGAAAGCATATTTATGGCCACACAATTGAGGGGCATTGCCAGAGTGTAAGTTCACTCCTGCTTTCTTTTCTGTGGCTGTCTTGTTTATCATTTCCTGGGGACTTCACTTTGAAGTCCTTTTTCAATCTGCTTCCTCCTAAAAACAACAGTGGGTTAGTTTGTGCTGCTGTGATCCCATTTCTTATAATGGAAAACTGAGGCAGAGGGCTTCTGTTTGGGTTTAGGGGCTCACATCAGTATATTTGGAGGTAGCAATACTGATGAAAAGAAAAGAAAAGAAAAGAAAAGAAAAGAAAAGAAAAGAAATAAAAGTATAAATGAAACATTCAAAAATGCACAGAAGAGAGTTCAGAAATGCAAAAAAACTGAGCACTTGTTACTAGCATGTTAAATTTAATACACATTTTTAAAAACTATGTTACAGAAGTTCACAGTTTCATACAAGCCTCTTTTCTGTTCCTGGCACACTGAAATGTTCGTGCTTGTTGAAAAATCATATTTGAAGGAAATACTAAATTTCAGTTAGAGGTTTGTGAAAATAAAGATTTTTTTTCTCATCCAAGTTGACAGACCCTCCCACCAGGTTAGGCTGACACAGAGGTCAAGATAATTTTGCTTGGTGGCCTTGAGTATTTCATTTCACGTATACCTCAACCACAAGTGTGTTAAGAAGCTCCTGCAAGCAAGGCGTGGGGGGCTAAGCACTGGGAATATAAAAATAGATGATTGATTCATGGAGTCTAATCTCAAGGAATTTATAATCTAAAGGGGTTTGGGAGTTAGGAGAGAAACATACATAGATAATTGATACAGAGGAGAATGTGATGAAGTGCAAGGGTGAGGTCCAGGCAAAGTGCTATGAGAAACTTGATACCATCTCCAGTTAGGAGTGGAAGAAAGATCAGATTTCATGGAGGAAGTAGGACTTCAGCAGGTGGAGAGAAAGTGGATTCCATCTCTAGAATAAAAAACAACATGAGCAAAGACAGGAAGGGGCAGTACAGGAACAGAAGACAGAGAGTAGCTAGGTTTCTCTTGAAATGAAAGCATATGAAGGGAGGAAATAGCAGAAAAGTCTGGAAAATTAGGCTAGACCTAGATTGTGGTGGGCTTTGAATGCAGAGTCAGGAGTTGAAACATTATTTAGTAGACAATGGGGAGGCACACACCATCTACCCTCTCCTTCCTTCTGATAGCAGTCCTTGGGCTCCTTGGCTTCTTTGAAGCTTGTGACACACTCCTACTCTTATCTCCATCACTGGGTCCTAATATTCTCCCTTCAGTTATAAGCTTTCCCTAAGGCCCTATTCCTTGGCCACCTTTTCTCTCTGTCTGGTCTCTCCACTGGTGATCTCATTAACTCCTACAAGTTCAGCCCTTACCACTATGTAGACGATCTCTAAATCTGTATCTCCAATCTTGGCTTTTGAATTCTAGTGGCACATCTCCAACTGAATTCAAGACAACTCAGACTGGCTGTTCCTCCAGGACCTCAAACTCAAAGTAATTGATAGTACTTCTCAATTTTTTGATTCCATAGGCAATTCTGTAAAGCAATTTGTAATAAAGTGACTAAAATATCCATTCCCTGATTTCACTTCAAGATTCTATGAAGCATATACCCCAAGGAGGTCATTACAAAAAAAAAAGTCACAATATTTATAGCAGCACTTTTTTGCTGGAAAAAGGAAACTGGAAACAAAATAAATGTCTATCAATTGAGAATGACTAAACAAATTGTGGTACATAAATGTAATGGAATATTACTGTATTGTAATCATTGTATTGTAAGTGTTGTAAGAAATGACAAACATGATGAATATGGAAAAGCATGGAAAGATTTATATGAACTTACATAAAGTAGGTAAGAAGACAGGAAAACAATACACAAATGATTACAATAATGTAAATGAAAAGAATAATCAATAAAATAATAAAAAAACTAATGATGCAAAAGTAGAATAAATTTGGCACCAAAGAAAAAATATGAAAAGAATTTTGTTTGTAAAAGTGAAAGGTCCATGGGTGTGAAAGATTGAATATGTCAGATTTTGTTTTCTATGTAGTGATCA